TTTAAACCTGTCTCTGGATGATTCATCTCAAGGTTAAATTAAAAAGTACAAATTTTATTTGACTACCTATCCACAAAGCATTAAAAAGTCTGAGAACACAATGACAATAAGAAAATCAATTAACGTATTAATTATATGCAGGTACTAAACTAATATAAAAATAAATAAGAAAAACTACAGTATTACTATTTATTTCTAAAATCTTTCTATATAGTTTTGACATATCCATTGCTTTCTTTTAAAAAAGCTTCTTGCTTTAATTCACAAGATTCCACTTGTTTCATAAATTTAACTAAAAATTTTTATGAGATATACAGAGGACCTTATTCTATTCAAAGAAGCAGTCCTTCAAGAAAATTATTATTAAAATTCCGTCATGTATGTCTCTTGCATCTTTACTTACTTAAGAAACAGAATTCAGAAACAATGTGTAGTAATTGTGTGAAACAAACAAAAAAGTCCAGGCATATTTTGAACAATATGATATAAAATTAGATGTGAAAATAGGTGGAAAATATTAATTCAAATTATCAAGACTTCTACTCTTGGCATAGATATGAATTCTGTAAAATATGTAGAAAGAAAAGCTGTAAGTTTATTTCAAAAGTTGAAAGTAAATTTTATGGCTTGATCAATCAGTAAAGAAAATAGAATTATCATACCTCTTAGTGGACAGGAACATTAGACACATCTGTCTTTGAGTTATTTTACTATGGTATAAACATGTTAAGTGCCCTTTAATACACACTGATAGGGCAATGGAAAATCACTAGACATGGCCTCAATATAAAAGATTTGGTAAACAACAGACATATGAAGATATTTCTTTCTGGTTTGACGTGGCATATACCATTTTACAGTAAGCTTTTTAATTACAAATACCAGAGCATTTCAAGGTAATGATAAGTGTGATACAGTAATTACATAAAACATTAGTAATTTATTTGTAGCATACATATCTGTATATGCTACACTTTTATATGATGTTGTCATTTAATGTGTTGCATTATGACACCATGGCAACTAGGATGTCACCTGGTCATAGGAAGTTTCCAATTTAACATGATCTTTCTGGACCAACATCAGACACACATCATGACCAAAGCATCATTATGGGGATGTGCCTATTATTTCAACAAAAGAGATAATACTCTTTTCTTTCTTTTTTTTAAAAAAACTTTTTCTTTTTAGCACTTTGGCTTTGTAATAAGGGCTAATATTCCTGATAAATAGGAATAATCTGATACAATTTCACGGGGGGGGGTGGCTCTGCATAAAGGATGAAAAGTTCAGTATCAATATTTGAAAAGTTTTAGTTGTAACAGAGAAATGTTTCTAAATAACCACATGCTTAATCTGTTATTTCTTACTCCTGGATATCTCCACAGTCAAAGTTTAGAACCTAGGTAACTGAAACATTTGTTGTACCTGCTGAATGTCTATGAATAAACCCCTTGTTTTGAAACCTGAGCCAATGAAATATTTGTCCTGTTTCAGTTGATAGCTACTAATAATCCATTCTTTGGAACTTGGGCCCAAGAAACATTTGTGGTTATTAATGTCCACTATGTAATTCCTTATTTTAGATTTGGCCTTATGTCCCCACTAGAATGCAAGTTCCACAAGTCAGAACACCTGATATGGTTTACACACTCAACATTCATTCAACCAATAATGCCACCTATCTCTTTTCAGCATCAAAACCTTGAAGGCAGAATAAGATGCTGCTAAGTAGTAAAACTGTTCTGCTAATCTAGACTTCTGTTAAGAGGTAGTAAATAGGTTCTTTAGATGTAAGATGATCACAGGGTTAACAGAGCATTTGTATTCGCTTGCAGTTCCTTCTTAGTCAGATCTGGGATTTTCTCCATGTCTCTCCAATCTCTAAATACTTAATTACTAAGTTCCAAACTTAGAAAGAAACTTCTCTATCCATACTGACTTCTACAACATTTTGCCTTGAAGCATTGATTTCTTTGCATCCCCAATGCATTTATTACTCATAAATTTAATAGAATACACATCTCCTGCAGAAATCTTGACATAATGTAAACTGATGTCTAGATAGTTATCACTTTCCACAAAATAGCTGAATAGACACACTCAGCCAATTTTAATCTAGGTTGGTCTGACTACAGTCAACCTCTACACCCATGAACAAGAAATAAATCCTGATTTTTAAATATTTTGTTTTCTATACAAGTTGGCTGCCCAAATCTGCAATCAAAAATGGAAACATTTTAATCCTTAGTACCATCCTCTCTCTCTTCCCTGAGTTTTTCACCAAAACACATACTAATGTTCATAGCTTATTTACGTCTTATATATTATCTTACCTCTTCACTAAAATGAAAACTCTACTTGAGTGGAAATTCACCACTGTATCCTCAGAATCAAGGTGTGTACTAACCACCTAACTTCATGAAGTATATGATAGATGCATGAACAATGGATCATTGGTTTGTGCTATGATCCCTACATCACATTCTACAGTTCTATAAAAACTTCAATCCCTGCCTTCATTCAGACTGATTTATTACTATTAAATGGTGGTTATGTTAAAAATTGATGTTACTATTCAGTATTCAATACTTTTAATTTCTTCTGAAACTAAATCAGCTAATGATCTAAAACTTGTTTTAAAATCGTAAGCAAGCATTATTTCTTTTAAGCCTCTTTCCTACATTATAAACTGGAGGACTATCTAGATAAAATGTAAACCACAGTAAAAAAAAAAAAAAGCTTACATGGAGGAAAGATTTTATGCTAATCCTTAAAGATTGAGTGAACTGGATTTCATCTAAAATAATGTATTCCTAATAACACTCTACTTTTCCCAGTAACACTTATAGTTCTCCAGACTTTACCGTCTTTCCTGACTAGTTTTTATGTCAACCTGACACAAAAATAACATTTGCCGCAAACCCAAAATGAGAAAAATGAAAAATGAAAAGTACTGAAAATTCTAACTTCAAGACACAAGGCATGGAATCCTGAGTAAAACCAGAAGTTCTTTTGCTACTACTGTCTTTGTGAGCTTCACAAACACCTTATGTCATACTTTGCAATCTATAAAATAGTAATCAACTAGATAGTGCTGACTTTTTTATGAGAATTAAGTAGTCCTTAGAATGTCCTTTGATGAATGGCAAGTACTCAAAAGTGTTTGTTATTATTAGTATCCAACAAAAAAAATCAACCTAATTCACTGTGTTTCTTTAAAAGGAAAACCAAATGTATAAATGTAAACTTCTGGACATTTTAAAAAACAAAAGAGATAAATAGAAATGTCCTAAACATGAACAATTATAAACTGTTCTGGTTATAATGTTGAAGATCTTCTCTATCACCATGATGTCCATGTTGTCACGATTCTATTAATACAATAAACTGAGACACTTTATAGGAAGAAACTGTGTTTATAGACAATATACATGTAGGAAACCTAAGAGGTACACTAAACTCTTAGACTTTGGTCTTACAAAATTTGGTAAGTAGCTGACTTAAAGATACATCAAAACCCAGTAACTGTATTTTCGAATAGCAAAATCTGATAAGAAAAGGAAATTCTCACATAATACCTAGGAATACACTTAATTAGAAAAATACAGAACTGACAAACTATATAAAATTTCACTGAATCTAAAAGATACAATTATTACATTATCTCTACCTTCTTAATCCTATCTGGAAACTTGAAATCTCATCTAGATTGTAGAGATGGCACTTGATATGGGCAGCTTGGGGTCCTTCCTACTTGTCCAAATGGGGATGATGCTGGACACTTGTCACTATATTCTTACAACTCCATTTACCAATGACTGTCCTTAACACAGAAGACCTATCAGTCAATAATTAACCCTTCACAGTGATTAACTGATTTGACAATAGTCTGCAAGACCGTTATATGACCTGATTTTCCACATCACTACTCAGCCTCACTCTCTGGCGACTACGAGTTCAGGCTCTTCATGGCACACTGTCATATTCCCCCATTGACCTCTGCCCACGTTACTTCAACTAATTGGCAGCATTTTCTCCTACAAAGTCTGATTTCTCAACTATTGAAACGATTTCCTCCAATGTCTTTTTGTTTTGTTTTAGTGAGGCCTATCCTGACCTCTTCTCCTGTCGTCATCACCATTAACCAAAGTATTTTTTTTTCTCTTAGTTTATTCTATTTTTTTCTCCCCAGAATGTTAAATCCAATGCCCACTGACTGAGCCTCTTGTGACCAGAAAAGTTCCCGTCCCAATGCAGACGCTTGGTAAATATTTATTGAATGAACAGTCATGTGAAACAGGATACCCTCGGGTTTTACTTTCTGAAAAGACTGAAGCAGTAAGAAGCAATCACAGAGGAGGCAAAGGAGTTTATAAGCCAACTGGCTCCACTCTTCATGGATGGTGCATTTCTCATGTATGTAGTGGATTCCAAGAGTACTTTTCTGCTTAGACCATGTCCCTTATTAGAAGTTGCTTCTCAGCAGGCAACACTTCCCCGTCTTTGTTCTGAGTGCCAATCCCTAGTACGTTATACATACTTGTTTAAAATGGAATGAATGGATGCATGCACAAATGAATACATAAGCTACAAAGTCTTGAGTAACCGCAGCAAATCGCTGTTGTCTCACTTCGTTATATAGCCATGCAAAACATTACCTCTAATTTAAATATATATATATCAACAGTGACTTTTTTTTTTTAAGAGTCACTAAAATATACAAAGTAATCAACCACGCCAGACAGGAACAAGCACCTTCGCCTACAGATATCAACGTTGATGAGAACACAGCTCGGGAGCACTTCCGGCCAGGGTACTCTCTGGAGGGGGGGAGGGGGGATGACAAATTCCATTGTAAGGCCGTGCCTAACTTGCCCCAGGATCCCGAAGGCCACAGGTTTAGTCGTGGACCCAAAACAGCGCGGCTGGAGGAACTGCGGCCCCTCCCCCGCCACATCCAGACCTCAGTCACAGAGATGCCGCTCGGAGTTCCTCACCGTGCTAGACTAGGGGAGCGGCCGTGTCCGAGCAGAGGCTGACGCGCACGAACACCAGGCCCCGCAGCGCCGCCGCCGAGGACGCCCACGCAACCAGAGCCCCCGACGCGCACCGACCCCGTGCGCCCCGCAGCCCCTCCACAAGTTGAGCCGCACTCGCGTGTCTCGCGAGATCCCGCGTCTTCGCGGACCTTCTCGCGGCCGCTCGGCTGAAAGGGGGCTGCTGCGGGGCTTCCCCCGCCGCCACCTCCCTGCTCCCCCAGAGCCTCGACCCTCGGCCCAACCCCCGCCAATCACAGGCAGAATTCCCGGAGGCTGCCCGGAGACTTCCGGAAGCCGACCGGAACCGGAAGCAGCCGGAGCCGAATCGGCGGGACCTAAGAAAATCAAAAAAAGCGCGGCTTCAGCTGGAGGTCGTGGCGAGCTGGTGGCTGTGGCCGCTGACAGGACGGCGCCTCGGCATGGACTCCACCGCCTGCTTGAAGTCCTTGCTCCTGAGCATCAGTCAGTACAAAGCCGTTAAGTCGGAGGCGAACGCCACCCAGCTCCTGAGGCACCTGGAGGTAAGGGGTTTCGGGGCGCGAGGGGGTGCCCCCTTCAGTCACCCAGCGAGTGACGGTGACGGCGACTGGGAGGCTGCCCAGAGGGGGACGGTCGCCTGCTCCCGACCAGCAGGGTGTGTCTTGACTGGAGAGAGAGGGGAAGAGGGGAGTGTGTCTGCGTGTTCCTGGTCCTTCTTTTAGGTGCCCATCTTCTAAATTCATTTTGTTTTCTTTTTTGGATATTGAGTGGCTTCATCATTCAATATAATCAGGGCGATTCATTCAGGTTGCATGCACTAGCAGGACTTACTTTTTATGTTATGTGTAATTCCATTTATATAAGTATTCCTCAGGTTGTGTACCTGTTGATAGACATTTGGATTTTTTTTCCAGGTCTGGATGGAATTATGAATCAGCTCATTGTAGTCATACTTTTTTAAAATTTTGAATGCATTTGTTTCTTATAAACCTACCAGTCGAGCTATCGGGTTATGAGAAAGGCCTATGCTCCCTATTTTGTTCTTTTAATTTTTTTTAAAAAAATTTAATTATGTCTGCATATGTGTGATGCATGTGCGCCCGAGTGCAGAACCTTCAGAAGGCAGAAGAGGGCATTATATCCTCTGGAGCTAGGGAAGCAGCTGTGAGCTCCTTGATATGGGTGCTGGGACTCAAAACTCAGGACCTCTGCAAAAATTAGTACATTCTCTTATCTGCTGAGCCATCCAATCCACATTCACTTTCATTTTGTATTGCTAGAAACAGTTCTCAAAAAGATTTGCAGAATTTTACTTCCTAGCAATATATCGAAACTGCCATCACTCAGCCATATCATCCTTAGTATTTACCTTTTTTTGTTAATGGTTGGTGTCGTCATGCCGAGCACTGCAAACTTTCTGAGGAATATACAAGTATATGTCACAAAAAGGGATTTTTTTTTTCATTATTTTGAACTTCTGCCATAGTTTGACATTAGAACCCTACACAAACCTGCACTTTGTGTCATTTCATGATGGTCAGGGCAAAGTTGAGCTGTTGTTGTATTTATTGATAGATAGTATTTACATCACTGACTGTGTATCTAGTTATTAAAAGCATGGGTTCACCTCTTTGAAGAAGTCTTGGTTGTGCGCCTTTATCAGTGAATGTCTCAGTTTACTCAAATATAAATCAAATCAGTAGCATTTAACTTAAAGAGTTATGAATATGAAAAAGAATAACAGATGTAAAGCATTCAGGCCAATGCCAAGGCCAGATAAGTTTTATCAGTAAAATAAACTAGTTTTCATTAGGAGAAAATTTATTTTTTACCTTGTATTAACTAATTATTATATGTTAGAATATTATTGAAATATAAGTCCAGTTCCAATCATGTTCAAAACAAAAAATGTCTTTATCTTCTAGATAGCTAAAATTTTATTTATTCATTTATTTTTTGTTTTTTCAAGATAGGGTTTCTCTGTGTAGCCCTGACTGTCCTAGATTTCACTTTGTAGACCAGGCTAGCCTCAGACTCAAAGACATCCCCCTGTCTGAATGCTGGGATTAAAGGCATTCACCACCATGCCTGACTATGGCTAAAATTATTAATAGAAAAAAGAGACCATGTTCAGAAAATTCTTAACCCCAAGATAAGTTACCAGTTACAAATTTGTTTCCAGTTTTTTTGATTTTTGTTGTTGTTGTTATTGTTATTGTTGTTTTGGGTTTTTGAGACAGAGTTTCTCTGTGAAACATTTCTGGCTCTTCTGGAACTCACTCTGTAGACCAGGCTGGCCTCAAACTCACAGAGATCTACCTGCCTCTGTTGGAGGAGGCCTCTTGTTTTGTTCCTGACTGCTCAGCCCCAAAATAATCACACAGAAACTATATTATTTACGTCACTGCTTGGCCCATTAGGTCTAGCTTCTTATTGGCTAACTCCTACATCTTAATTTAACCCATTTCTACTTAGCTGTGTATTGCCATGAGGCTGTGGCTTACCAGATAAAGTTCCAAAGTTCCTATCTGTTTCTGGTGGCTACATGGCATCTCCTTGACTCTGCCTTCTTCATCTCAGCATTCAGTTTAGTCCATCCATCATTTCCCCCACCCCCACGTCTACCTAAGTTCTGCCCTATCAACAGGCCAAGGCAGTTTCTTTATTAACCAATGGTATTCACAGCATACAGAGGGGAATCCCAGATTGTGCTTCTGCATCGCTGGGATTAAAGGTGTGGCCACCACAGCCCAGCTTGTTTCCAGTCTTACAGACATTAACGTTAAAGCATATTCTGTTAGTGAATAGGTAATGTGAAATTCCAAGAGTGAAGCTTGGTAAGAAAGTGAGAAAATGTAAAGGAGATACAGAAAGGAGGTATTAGACTCTAATAATTAGAGGGTTATAAAGCAGTCCGTTTAGATGTGACCTTTTAGAGTATGTATATAAGATGTGTTAGTCTAATTCTGAAATATCAAATTGTTTAATACCAGGTTTATGTTGACTCTCCCTTACTAAAATAACTGGGTTGAAAAGTAAAAATCTTATCTTTGCTAGATTTAAAAATATTCTTTATTAACTTTATGGTTTCTGCATAATTTCCTAACTTCTAGACTCAACCTGAAAGGAGTTGTTATCCATTAGACTTCATATACCATTCTCAGAGTAGATGGTATGAGTATACTAGGCTTCAGAATAATAAATCTGCTTGGGTCTTTTCTTAGTTAGGGTTTCTATTGGTATGAAGAGGCACCATAACTACAGCAACTCTTACAAAGGAAACATTTAATTGGGATGACTTGCTTACAGTTCAGAGGTTCAGTTCTTTGTTGTCATGGCAGGAAGCAATGCAGCATACAGGCAGACATGGTATTAGAGGAGCTGAAAGTTCTTATATCTTGATGCACAGGCAACAGGAAATGGTCTGAGATACTGGGCCTGTTTTGAGCATACATGAGACCTCAAAGCCAGTCCCCACAGTGACACACTTCCTTCAAAAAAGCCACACCTCCTAATAGTGCCACTTGCTATGAGTTTATGGGAGCAAATTACATTCAAACTACCAAAGTTCTAGTATACATTTTTAGTCTGTGTTCAGTATAGTATAATACAGACAATATATAAATGGTAGTCAGAAGTTCACTAATACATTAAGGAAATAATAGTATACTGTAAGGCTGTGTAATAAGTAAAACTTAGATGATCTAAGTGGCTTATTGAAATGCTTCTGGAGAAAGTAAACAAACTGAAATCTAGGTAATTCGACTAGAGAAGGAAAGAATCTGTATATGGGCAGAAAGGTGTGTTTTCTAAACTGGGAAAGAAAAGGCTAAGTAGCATGTCATTAAAATGGTTTACTTGAAATACAGAAGACATAGAAATTGCCAGAACTTAACACATTTGCTTCGTATTTCATAGGTGGTTTGTGGACAAAAGCTGGCACGACTGTTTACATCACAGCAGATACTACCAAGTGAATGTTTGAGTTGCCTCGTAGAACTTCTTGAAGACCCAAACATAAGTGCTTCACTGATCTTAAGTATTATCAATTTGCTGTCTCAACTGGGTAATGTTTTCATACTTTCTTTTTTTAGAGTTTGGAATACTATGAAATTAATTTTTTTAAGATTTATTTATTTTATGTATATGAGTGCTCTATCTGCATGTACTCCTGCACTCCAAAAGAATCCCACTATAAATGGCTATGAGCCATCATGTAGTGGCTGGTAATGGAATTCAGGACCTCTGGAAGAGCAGCTAGTACTTTTAACACTGAGCCATCTCTCCAGTCCTGAACTTAATATTTTTAATATTAATAGAATTAATAATTAATAGAATTCTTCAAGAGTGATTTAGTTTCAAAATATTTCTTCATTGTAGAACCATTTAAAGTTTGTCTTATTTCAGGTTCTCTCAAAAGAGTCTCTGAAGCTGGGTGGTGGTGGCACATGCCTTTAATCCCAGCACTTGGGACAGAGCTAGGAGAATCTCTGAGTTCAATGCCAGCTGAGTCTACAGAGTGAGTTCCAGGACAGTCAGGGCTAAACAGAGAAACCCTGTCTCAAAAAAAGAAAGAAAGAAAGAAAGAAAGAAAGAGAGTCCCTGAGTATATACATATGTACAGACCCACACATACATGTACATATGAGCTCATATATATATATATATATATACGTATATATATATATGCACGTATATATATATATATTTGTTGTCTCAACTGGGTAATGTTTTCATACTTTCTTTTTTTAGAATTTGGAATACTATGAAATTAATTTTTTTAATTAAGAAAGAAAGAAAGAAAGAAAGAGAGTCCCTGAGTATATATATATGTACAGACCCACACATACATGTACATATGAGCTCATATATATATATATATATATATATATACATACATACATACACATACCATATCTTAAAGACTTCCATATTCTGTAGAAAAGAATGTATATGGGGAAATGACATTCTATTGAATTTTAAAAAACAAAAAGCCACGTGAGCATAATGCCAGTATTAAAGACAACAATCAGAAAGATGTATAGTCTCTAAAAATAATCCTCAGTAATAGTCTACATTGAACTTAGAACCAAAGATAAACTGTAGTTATTTTTTCTATTCTCGTTATGTTTCATTTTTAAATGTTCATCTATTAATCATTTTCCCCTTGATTTTTGTATGCACAGAGGTGTTAGATATTTATGTCTATGGTTATAATCAGGTATCTTAGTAATAGAGAAGTATTAGCAGAGAGCAGCATTGCACTGTTTTGCACAACAATCTAAGTATTATTAGTGATAGAAATATTCTGAGTTTGTATTGTTCCTTAGAGTAGCCTCTTGCCATATAGGCTTGTCAAGCATTTGAAGTCTGGGGAGCTGAATCTAATTTTGGTTAAACTTAATTTAAATAGTTGCAGAGTAATATGTACTAGTGGCTGTTATATTAGATAATACAGATAAGAGTAAAATGGCATGAGTTGTTATTCATTATCCCAGCCTTCTTTATCATTTCTACCTTTAGGGATACAATCTTAGTTAATGGTTTGATGTGTACCTTCTAATTTAAATTATTTATTTTTAAGTAATAGATTTTATATTTTAAGTCTTTGGATTTATAAAAGAAGTTGAAATGATAATCTGACTGCATACTATATAATCCAGGCTAGGATGGAACTCAAAATTTTCTTGCCTCATTCTCGTAAGTGGGGATTACAGGCGTATACCACCAACCCCAGCTGTTATATTGTTTTAACAGCCAAGCTTCAAGACATACGTAAAGCAAGGCTTTTTTCCTTTGATAGTAATCTATGTAGAAAAATTATTTATACTTTGAAATTGGTGTGCATTAATTAAAAAAAAAAATCTGTCTTGGCCAGCCATGGTGGCTTAATCCTGTAACCTCAGCATTCCTAAGGTTGAGACAGGAGGAACTGCCATGAATTCCAGGCCAGTCTGGGCTACAGAGTGAGATCCTGATTCAAAATCTCAAAATTAAACACTTTCTCATGTTTTGTCTTCCTTAACAATAAGATTATATGACATAAAATTATTTTACTATTGTGGAAAGATTTCTGCAAGTAAAAGTGATACATTTTATGCCATTTTATTTTAACTTTTAGCTGTAGATACTGAAACCAGAGACTGTCTTCAGAGTATATACAACCTGAATAGTGTATTGGCAGGAGTGGTTTGTCGGAGCAGCACTTGCCACAGTGATTCAGTGTTTTTACAGGTATACAGATCCTCATAGTATATTGACTCCTGTTCTCCTTTCTTTATTCTCAGACAAGAATTGGTAAGATGTAGTCAGCTTTCCCGGACAGCCAGCTTCAAATCATGATGCGAAGACTTATTGCTAATTATAAATGCTTGGCATTAGCTCTAGGTTTGTTTCTAGCTAGCTTTTTTTCTTTAACTTATATTTACCCCTTTCTATTAATCTATGTGTTTTCCTGAGGCTCATTTACCTCCAGCTTTCCTGCTTCTGTGGCTGGCTGGCTGACCCCCTGGCTGGCTAGCTTCCCTTTTCTCTCTGCTCCCCGAGTCCCACCTATTACTCCTCTGCCTAGCAATTGGCCATTCAGCTTTTTACTAATCAGGTGCCTTAGGCAGGCAACACATCTTTACATAGTTAAATAAATGCAACATAAACAAAAGCAGTGCACTGTTGCATCGTTAAACAATTATTCTGCAACACAAATAAATGTGATACTTCTTTATATAGTTAAACAAATATTCTATTCCAAAACAGTAAGATGTTTTATTTTATATGATGACATGACATCATCAGGCATAGTACTTATTAGGAGCTGGTTGGTCACGTGTCAGATATGTAAATATTTCTAAAGAAGGAATCAGAGATAACCAGATCTGCATAATCACCACTTTAACTTATAACACTATAACTTAAGGACACAGATGTGTTCCTTTGGAAGTGTGAACTATTCACGTTAAAATTTTAATTTAGGTTATATAGCCTTGGACTGTTGAAGAAAAAATTTACAAAGAAAAAAATCTTACAAAACTTAAAGCTATGGTTCATACTTGTTTAGCATAATTTGAAAACTCTTTCACCCATCATTTTATTGAATCTAAAATGTCATCATCTGCAAGAAAGATAAACATGACAAATTGAACTGACATTCACTTTTAGACATAAAATGTAAAGGGAAAAAGATACCTTCAAATTAATTCAACCCACACTCAAGTTTAGTGTAAGTAGGGGAATAAGGTAGATGACTGGTCAGATTTAGTTACTACAGCTGAATACTTGGGAGTAGTTCATTTGATAAGGAAAAATATGTATTTATCTCATAGGTTTGGTGGTTCAAGGACATCCTATTTATATCAACTATTTTTTAGATCTGGCAAAGGGTCTTCTGGCTATAATCATGGCAAATAGAAAGGGTGGGAACATGATCATATCTCAGGTAAGATACGAGAGATACTGGGACCAGACTTGTTCCTTTTTCTTCTCTTAAGAACTACCATCAGGGTCACATGGGAAATACATGATACCTTCAGTGATCTAAGGACCTCTATTTAAGCCCTAACTTGTACAAGTTCTGCTACCTCCCGGTACCACCATCTAAGAAACTAAGGTTTAAATCACAGGACCCACCTTAAATGGACATAACTAGGTGCCATTCAAACCATAGCAATGACAAGCCATTAAATAAAATATGTAGAAATGGATAAATTAAGACACGACTCCCATGGTTCTTAGTAGTCTCATTGCTTAGAATATATGTTTTGAAGTAAAATTTTTTAAGTAAGCTTAAAAAATGGTATGGCTCTTGCTCTAGTGTTTGGTTCCTAAAATGATATACTAAAATGAAATACTTGCAATAGTTTATTTTTATCAGTGGTCAGTATGTTTTCATGTGTATACTCACAATTATTTTCTTATTCTCAGTGCATTCAACTTCTGCAGAGGTTAACATATAATGTCAAGTTTTTTCATTCTGGTGCCCACATAGATGACTTAATTACATTCCTGATTGGTCATATGTAAGTATACAACCAAGCTGTAATTTCTTTGTTTATTTTTTTTAATTTATTTATTTATTAAGGATTTCTGCCTCCTCCCCGCCACCGCCTCCCATTTCCCTCCCCCGATCAAGTCCCCCTCCCTCATCAGCTCGAAGAGCAATCAGGGTTCCCTGACCTGTGGGAAGTCCAAGTACCGCCCACCTCCATCCAGGTCTAGTAAGGTGACAAAAATATTTGTTTATTTTTAAACTAAAACTAGGTGGTAGATCATTTCTCCTTAGTTAATGTTTTCTAACTTTAAAAGCAAAAAAAAAATCATTTATTTTTGTGTATGTATTTGTGCCTAAGTACGTGAGGTACACCATGTATGTGCAGGTATCTGTGGAAGACAAAAGAGGTCTTCATATTTTCTGGAGCTGGACTTACAGAGAGTTGTGTGCTGTCCAGTGTGAGTGCTTGGAACTGCGCCCCAATTCTCTAAAAGAGCAATCATCTTACCAGCTTTCTAGGTTTTTAAACTAACTAATACCTGTTTCCTCCACTTGGATGATTTTAAGGGTTGAGTATCTTAAAATAGGTCTAATTTTCATAAGTAAGATCTAACAAATTGATTTATGAAAATAATCAAGGTGAACGTTGTATGCTCTGTAGGTGAGCATAATTAAATGTAGTCATTCTGACTGCTATTTCTTTATTTCTGTGGCACATTTGAATGGAATAATTTAGCTTTAAAACATAAAGGAAATAATATACTGTATGATAATCTTGTTTTTACATATAGAAGCTTATGTATATTAACTACTCTGTGATTTTGACTAAATAGAGTGGATACCATGCTTTCTGTCTTTACAACAGTCAGTCTTCTGAAGATGAGTTAACCATGCCTTGCCTAGGATTGTTGGCAAATCTTTGTCGGCACAATCTTTTTGTTCAAACACAAATAAAAACTTTGGTGAGTTGAGGGTTTGATTATGTATGTATGTATATTTTATAGTAGGTTCTATTCCTAAATTCTTCCAAGTTTTTCTCTCTTTTTTTTTTTTATTTCCAATGCTAAGTATGGAACCTATGGCCTTGCCCATGCCATTTGGGTACCTTTACCAAAAAAGAAAATTTTCTCCAGATACTGTGTATAACAAATAGTCCTTTAATTTCTACTTATCTATGTTGTAAAATTTTCCTTTAAATATTAATAATAATTTTCCCTTTAAAAATAGTCACCATGTGTTGAAAAGTTCATGATAATGTTTAATAAGCTTGTCCACTCTGTACAATTGTATTTTTTAACCAAAATGTACATTTTTAAATTCAGTTTCTTTTCTCCTTCAGAGTAATGTGAAATCCTTTTATCGAACTCTCATAAGCTTCCTAGCACACAGCAGTTTGACTATAGTTGTGTTTGCACTTTCAATATTATCCAGTTTGACGCTAAATGAAGAAGTGGGGGAAAAGGTAATTCTTTTCTACTTTTGAAATTAATTTTGAGATCATAGTGTTTAATATTTTAAAATCATTAAGATATCAGCTTATAATTTCTTGTGTATAATACAGTTTTCCCAATTTTTCAAAGCTATTTCATGCTCGAAACATTCATCAGACTTTCCAACTAATATTTAATATTCTAATAAATGGTGATGGGACCCTAACAAGAAAGTACTCAGTCGACCTACTTATAGATCTCCTTAAAAATCCTAAAATTGCTGATTATCTTACCAGGTATGTTATTTATCAATATAACATTTTTTTATTTATTATTTTAGATTCTGTGTGTATGAGTGTTGTGCCAGCGTATATGTGTATGTACCACATTTGTGCCTCGTGCCTGTTAAAACCAGAAGAAGGCCTAGGATCCCTGGAACTAGAGTTGAAGACATGTGTGAGCTGCCTTGTGGATGCCGGGAACTGAACCCAATACTGTGACAAAGAACACTTTTAGTGGTTAAGCCATATCTCCAGCACCAGAACATTTTTATATTTGTCTCCAAGTGTTTCTTGTCAATTACATTTGAAAGTCAGTAACATATACTTTCTAAAAGTTCATTGCGTTAGAGTCTTTGTCTTTATTTTCATGCAGTTTATTTTTATTTTATATATATGGGGTTTTGCCTGCATATATGTGCACCATGTGTGTGCCTGGTCCTTGTGGAGGCTAGAAGAAAACATAAGGACCTCTGAAACTGGAGTCATGGATGGTTGTGATCTACTCAATATAGTTGCTAGGAATTGACCCCGCTCTTTTGGAAAAGTAACACTCATCCTTGATCACTGAACTATCTCTCCAGACCTTGATTTTAGCATCTTAATTTCATTTTCTCAATACTTAAGTTGTGTTAGGATCTAGAAATTGGTTCAAATAGTGACTCATAGCCAAATAAGAAAACATTTATTGAGCACCTACATTGTGCAAGCAGTGAGAGACAAATGAGTCTCAGCAGCAGCAGAATGTTTAATAATTTCTGACTTTTCGTGAACAAAATAGACCTAAAGACCAGGGCAAAATTAACCTTGGGTAACTGAAGTTCTGCAAAACAAGACACATTCACTTTAGTGTTTCTTATTTTTTCTAAACATCTGTGATACAAATGGCTATCAAGTCAGTGTCATAGATAAGGGCATCTTTCCTGCAGAGTACCTTCCCTTTACCTGTCCTCTTTTCATCTGTTGTGAGGATCAGAATATCCATGTGTATCTGTTCTGGCTGTCACATAATGAATGCTTACTTAAAAGCTTTGTAGTAAATAGAAATCATCTTTTGGATGTGGTCTCAGGAAACAGAAAAATGACTTTGTAGCAGCAGTGGGAGATTGCTAAGCTAATACTCCTTTCAGTCTCTCAGTTGCATTCTTTCCTTCTTTTTTTTTTTTTTTTTTTTTTTTTTTTTTTTGATTTTTCAAGACAGGGTTTCTCCATAGTTTTTGGTTCCTGTCCTGGAACTAGCTCTTGTAGACCAGGCTGGCCTTGAACTCACAGAGATCCGCCTGCCTCTGCCTCCCGAGTGCTGGGATTAAAGGTGTGCGCCACCAACGCCCAGCTCTCCTTCTCCTTTTTGTACAGACTAGATCTCCAAGAAGCATGTTATCTTCTTTTGAGGCCATTTGTTAAGATCTCAATCTTTTTTTTTTTTTTTGTTTTGTTTTGTTTTTCGAGACAGGTTTTCTCTGTGGTTTTGCAGCCTGTCCTGGAACTAGCTCTTGTAGACCAGGCTGGTCTCGAACTCACAGAGATCTGCCTGCCTCTGCCTCCTGTATTTGAGGCTGGGATTAAAGGCGTGCGCCACCACTGCCCCGCTTAAGGTCTCAATCTTGATTCTGTTTCTAAATAAATAGGAGAAAAATCACAAAGCTTTCCCTGGAACAGACCCTTTTATTTATTCTGTCAGCTTCCTTGATACCTACAATGTCTCATTCAAATATGCATTGCTTTCTTTTGCTGCCTTTCATGCTCAAGCTTACTTTATCCTTTGTCTTTTTTTTGTGTGTGTGTGTGTGTGTGTGTGTGTGTGTGTGTGTATGTAGTAGAGCTGTTTTGGAACTTACTCTGTAGACCAGGCTGGTCTTGAACTCACAGAGATTCACTTGCCTCTGCCTCCGGAGTGCTAGAATTAAAGGCGTGCCCCACTACATCCTGGCCTTACTTTGTCTTTATTTCAAATACAGGAAAAACAAAATGAAGACTCCCATCTGCTTAGAGTCCCCCCACCTATTTGCATGCCTAGACAAACTTGTTTCTGCCCATTCTTTCTTAGCTCTAGCCTGTTCTGCTCATAAACATTTTATTACAGTGTGCTGTAAGCCTCACTGTCATCTTCAGCAGATTATTTTCATATTTCATGGACTGTTTCCTGTTCAGCTGTCACTTCTCTTATACGTGTGCTTAAGCATTAACTTTCGTTTCAACCATTATATCCCTTTGATCGTTTTCAAGGTAAAGACCCAAATCTAAGCCCTGGCCACATAGCAGCTTTATTTCTTGACCTTTGCAGTGCTAGACAGTGACTGTAATCTGCAGGTGAAAATCAGCCCCTCAAGTGCCAATGGTAAACAACCAGTCAACTACAATGTACTAATGTTGCTATGTTTTATTAGTCAGTAGATTGGGTTGTAAAAAATACATTTTTCACATGGAGTAGTTTTAAGTTTACATGGATTTATGGGTACAAAACTATGTCATAAATCATGGAATATCTATGTAAACATTGTAAGCAAATTTAGTTTATTTTTTGAGAATTTCATGCATGTTTGTAATATGTTTTGATGAGATCTACCCTCTTTGCTTTGCCTACAATTCTTGCTCTTCTGTCATTTAATACATACCTTCAAACCTAGGTATGAACACTTCTCTTCGTGTCTTAATCAAGTTCTAGGACTTCTAAATGCGAAAGACCCTGATTCTTCTTCAAAGGTATGCAAAAGCGTGGCATTTTGTTTTATACTTTCAAAGTTTAAAATGTGCAGCAAAACCTAAGTTAGCTGCAACTTCACACTCATTTACCCAATGTTGACATCAGCATGAGTGCATTACAAAATGGAAGCTACTTTAAGTTTTTCTTTCAGAGAGACAAATCCCAGTGCCATTACCTTTGGCCCCCCAGTCTGCCCCAATTGTCAACCACATTCAGAGGGTCCAGTTTGATCCCATGCTCTTTTGTTCCCAGTCCAGCTGGATTTGGTGAGCTCCTATTATATCAGGCACACTGTCTCAGTGGGTGAGCCAACCCTTCATGGTCCTAACTTCCTTGTTCATATTCTCCCTCCTTCTGCTCTTCAACTGGACCTTGGGAGCTCAGTTCAGTGCTCCGATGTGGGTCTCTGTCTCTGTCTCCATCCGTTGCCACACGAAGGTTCTATGGTGATATTCAAGATGGTCATCAGTCTAACTTCAGGACAAGGCCAGTTCAGGCTTGAATTTTGCATGCAAATGGATGGAAGTAGAAAACACTATCCTGAGTGAGATAACCCAGACCCAAAAATATGAATATGGTATATACTCACTCATTAGTGGTTTCTAGCCATAAACAAAATGACATTGAGCCTATAGTTCATGATCCTCGAGAAGCTAAGTATCAAGATGAACCCAAAGAAAAACACATATAGATCCTCCTGGAAATTGGAAGCAGACAAGATTGCCAGGCAAAAGTTGGAAGCATGGGGACAGGAGGGTAGAGGGAGACGGAGGAAGGGAGAAAGAGGGGAGAAGGGGCATGGTATGGGACAATTATCTATTTTCTGTCAATTCCCAAAAAATGGACTATACATTTTTTTTTTAAAAAGGGGGGGGGGGGAGTGGTGTGGGACAATTGTCTGTATTCTGTCATTTTTATGTTTTAAATAACCACTAATTGGCCAGTAGCCAGGCAGGAAGTATAGGCAGGACAACCAGACAGGAAGAAAAGGTGGGTCAGTGAGAACAGGAGAATTCTGGGAAGAGGGAGGCTCCCTCTGTAGTCCTGGCCAGACACAGAAGAAGCAAGATGTGACTACACCGCTGAAAAAGGTACAGAGCCATATGACTAACACAGATAAGAATAATGGCTAATGTAAGTTATAAAAGTTAATAAGAAGCCTGAGCTAATGGGCCAATCAGTTTATGATTAATGTAGACTTCTGAGTGATTTCTTTGGGACTTAATGACAGTGGGAACTGGGCAGGACAGAAACCTCAGACAACAGGGGAGGGTTGGGGAGAGGTTGGGGAAGTGGGATGGTTGAGATTGAGGAAGGATGGATATGGGAGTAGGGAAGGAGATATCTTAATTGAGGGAGCCATTTTGGGGTTGGCAAGAGGCTTAGCTCTGGGGGACTTCCCAGGAGTCCACGGGTCAGTGGAGAAGAGGGTGTCTGAACTGGCCTTGTCTTGTAGTTGTACTACTTGACTATCTTGAATATCACCATAAAACCTTCCTCTGGCGACAGATGGAAACAGAATGTTTTCTTTAAAAATGCATGGCATTGTTAGTGTCATTGTATGCTTTGTCTGTTAAAGGCCAATGAAGTTGGTATTTAATGAAGACTTTATATTACACAGGTTTTAGAATTACTTCTTGCATTCTGTGCAGTGTCTCAGCTGCGCCACGTGCTCAGTCAGATGATGTTTGAACAGTGTCCATCTGCCAACAGCATTCTGGGAAGCCGTCCTAAAAGCTTAGAACCTACTGTGGCTCTGCTTCGTTGGTTAAGCCAACCTTTGGATGGATCTGAAAACTGTTCTGTTTTAGCACTGGAATTGTTCAAGGAAATCTTTGAGGTAATGAAATGATTGACAAATGGACTTTTCTGCTTTCACTTAACAATTTGTTTTATGACACTTTTATGTAAGCCAATTGTTCACACATGAGATAAAATTAATTATACTCCAGACTGTATAAAATTCAACTACTGAGGGTTTTGTTTCCTGCAGACTCACATGCATTAGCATTTTCCATGTTTCTACTGAATGCTTTGTATGTATTTTCTTACATAGGTACATACATACATGTAAAACTTTCTTAAACTATCTAATTTATTACACAGAATCTATGTGATTTCCTATTGTGCTTTGGTTGTTTTCTTTCTCACATTTTGTCTGCTGCCTTTTATTAATTCTATAAAATATTGATCTTAATTCGTGAAATGAGACAGGATGCAGACAGATGCAATGCACTTAGTAGAATGAAGACAAATAATCTTGAGCTGTAGATTATGCTACTGGGCAATTTAACATTATCTACTGTTCACCTGCTTTTATACTCATTCAGCCTCTCCGGTCTTCCATATTTTTTTCAATCTCATAATTAGATACTATGCACAAATATGTATGTGACTGATCAAGTCTATTCATAAAAACTTTTGCATAAATTGCTTTTTCTGTTTTTCTAGGTCCTGACTGATTATAGCATTTAAAAAACCTTTGAAATTATTTGTGATTTTACACTATAAAAGTCAGTCACTTACTATTTAATTTCATTTTGCAAATTCAGGTTATTGTCATTAAACACTAAACATTTTACAATAACAATTAAAATCGTGGAATCCTTTAAAATGTCTTTTTTACAAAATCATATGGCTTCATTTGAGAAAGAAGCCAGGGTAAACCTGAAAGATGGCTAACATGGTAAACTGTAAAACATAGCTTTAAAATAGAAGACTTGAATGAATGGACTATTGAAATAAATGGTAAAAATTTAAAGAATATGTTATAGCTCAATAATGACTGTTTTGTGTTATGTGTTCCATATTTTCAATTATTCTTGATGATCAATTTTCTAGGATGTCATTGATACTGGTAACTGCTCCTCAACTGACCGTTTTGTGACCCTTCTGCTGCCTACAATCCTTGATCAGCTTCAGTTCACGGAACAAAATCTGGATGAGGCCTTAATAAGAAAAAAATGTGAAAGGATGGTCAAAGCCATTGAAATTTTATTAAATATCCTTTACCATAATATAAATGAAAAGTATAAAACTCCAATTTTGTCTTTATTTGTAATCTTATAAGTTCTTGCGTAATATCAGAAATAGTGTACCAAGGAACTGGAGAGATAGCTTAGTCATTAAAATGCTTCCCTTGAGAGCATGAGGACTTGAGTTTAGTTTCCAGCAACCCACATGGAAACGTCAGACAAGCATGATGGTGTGGGCTTGTAGTCCTGGGGCTAGGGAAGCAGAGACAAACCTGGGGATTGCTGGCTAGCTGTTGACCTCGTGGAGGACCTCCAGTCCATGAGTAACCCTGCTCAAATAAACAGACTATGGTTCTGAGGATGACACCCTAGGTTGTCCTCTGGCCTCCATTTGTTTGTGCATACGAAAACATGTATGAATACGCACTACATAGTAAGAAAAAGGATGTTGAACTGAAAATTAAACAAAGTTTCAGGGATACCTGAAAAAGTTCTCCAGGTTTTCTGTGTTTAATTTATGCTTAAAAGTACTTTTAGAACTCTTTTTTTTTTAGATACATCCTTGTGTGTGCATGTGGCCACTGCAGAGGATCAGACTAATCACCTATTATTTACTATTGAACTACATTCCCACCCATAAATGTTCTTAAAATATGATTGTTTTTAAATAACAGTTTGAGCTTTGAAGGCATATGCTGAGGTGACTCCTTATAACTCTCCTGCAGTTTTTATGCCTGTTACTACTTCTGTGAGTTTTTGGCCGATGTATCAGTGCATAAGCAAATACTGATACAGTTTTCATGATTTTAGCCCCCATCCCCTTTGTGTGTGATTGTTTAATCTATTCTTGTGTTTCTTGTTTGTTTGTTTTGTTGTTGTTGTTTGTGTGTTTGGTTTGTTTGTTTGTTTGTTCTTTGTAGTTTTGGAACCTGACCTGGAAGTAGCTCTTATAGACTAGGCTGGCCTTGAACTCACAGAGATCCTCCTGCCTCTGCTTTCCGAGTGCTGGTATTAAAGGCATGCACCACCACTGCCCAAATATTCTCGTGCTTCTGACATGTACCAAGGTTGAAAATTACTGCTATAGAGGCGAGCAGTTCCTCTGTTTAACCTTAAAGGTGTTTTATAATGTGGCACTTTTTTTTCTGATATTCATAGTAATTTATAAATTATGAGGATATAACTCCCTATAATACATCCAATGTTCATTGAAACATTTTGATTACTGCTAATAGGTAAATAAATAAGTAAACAAACATCCAGTGAAGACCTATCCTTTCTCTGCTTTTACCGTGTGTTAAACACTTTTATGAGTCCATCTCTTGCTATTTACTAGTCACCTTAATACTTTGAAGTTTCACTTTTCTAACATGCCTTAAAGCAATTAAATAATTACACTGGATTGCAGTGATGCAATAGCTTGTTTGAAATTATTCTGAATGCCACAAGTTATATATAGCTACACACTATATACCAAGTATTTTGATTTCTGTGTGTCTTAACCAAACTTAACCTCTGTGTGGAGATGACACTCTAAAAATGCATATTGTAAAAATATTGACTACTATAAAGTGTACCACGCTGATTGAACAACAGTTTACATATGGCAAGATTGACCTGGGATTTGGAACAAAGGTAGCAGATTCTGAATTATGGTGAGTATTTCAAATCCAAAAGGCATACTGGCAGTAAAAATTATAAAATATAGTTATCATATTTAAGAATCTTCCCTAATTATGTTTTATTAACTCAAAGGATAGCTGGAAATTGCTTAAATTTTGAATTAAAAATTCAATTTATGCATACTTCTGGAAGTTTTGACATCTGCAGTTTATATCTTAGTAGGACTTTTTCTTTCCTTTGCATGCGTGTGAAGGAGAGATTACAGATTCTGAACATTTCTCTTCTGAAACTCCTTTTGACATGGCCATGGTTATTTAATTTTTGCTTCATTTAATCTTACATTTTTAAAGAGAAAAGCGTGACAAAATGGATAGTTTTATTACCAGAAAGCCAGTCCCTGCTGAAAACTTAATAACAAAGACAACTCCTCTCTTCTTCACACATCAGAGCTTTGGTTAAAGGTGGATGCTCACAGAGTAATGAGCAATTATTTATGCCCCCTCCCTCTCGTGAGCAAGTTTTCCTAATGAATATTTATTGAAACCTAATAAGTGCCAAACACTAAAATTTGTTCCCATTTCCATAAATAACTATCAGCAAGTGTTGTCTTCTTTGTTTTTTCTTTCTTTGTGTAACAGCTCTTAGCTGTCCTGAAGCTAGCTCTTGTAGACCAGGCTGGCCTCAAAGAAATCCAAATCCACTTACCTCTGCCTCCCAAGTGCTGGGATTAAAGGCATGCACCAACACCACTGCCCGTCAGCCATTGTATTCTTTGTGTGTGTGTGTGATAAGTATGAGGTCATTTGACCACAGCTTGTATGGATGTCAGTACAATCTGAGGTGGAAAGACCCTTACCATTGGACCATCTCACCAGTCCTCTTTTATACTTTTTACTCCCTTTCAGATGCAAACTAAAGTGAGTGCATGGTCTTGGATAATTCATTCTCTTCATATTAGATTTTGTTCTTAACTTTAGAAACAGTTACTGAAACTGAAATGATGCATGTTCTAATACTTGTATTTAATTCAGCAGACATTTGTACCATGTTTGTATTTAAGAGTAGATCTGAAATTTATATTCAGTATTAACTTGTTCTTTCTGGAACTCAAGTACTAAAAATACTAATTTTTAAAAATATTTTAATTCTTAGAAGTAATACTTTATCTTTTTGAGTTTTATAAGCAAATTTGTTAGATTTTTCATTTACTGTAGGATTATAGACAAAAATATGCTAATTTTCTTGTTTTCTAATTTAAATGTGATGACTTTTATTTTTAAAAGCAAACTTGCTGCTGATGTAATTTTGAAGACTCTTAATTTGATGAACAAACTAAAACAACTGGTTCCTGGTATGGAAGTAAGCTTCTACAAAATCCTTCAGGTAACTTCAGACTTTTCGCATATTTTATTGTCATGTGTTTGTTTGTGTTCATGTTTGTACATATATTTTATATTTACATAGTCTTGTGGTATGTATATGTTTAGATACATGCATGTGGAAAGCCAGTGTTGTCTGTCTTCTTCAATTCCTTGTTTTCCCTTTTTTTTTTTTTTTTTGCATCAGAGTCTCACTGTCCTAGAGCTCACCAGTCCAGCTAGCCTGGCTAATAGATGAGCTCTAGAGTTCCAGCTCTCTGTCCCTATCTCTCTACTTCCTACTCCTAGGGATAAGACTACAGATGTGACACTAAGTCCTGCATTCTCGGTGGGGACTGAGGATTGAACTCAGGTCCTTGTGTCTGAGCAGCATCTCTACTTCCTCTATCATGGTTTGTAATAATTCTCCCTTTGTTTCTTTCTTCATTTCTTGTTTATTTATTGAGACTACCTATCACCATGTAGTTCAGTTTGTCTCTGAACTCAGCTTTCTTCTGCCTTGACCTCATAAGTGCTAGGATTATAGGCCCATGCATTGTGCCTCTATTATGTATTTCTGCTTTAATATTCTACATCCTTCAGGATATTTTTCTTAGAATTGGTCATGAGAAAGAAGTTGACAGTTCTATCTATTGTAATTAGAATAGTCTCATTATATATCTTAGAAACTTAAACTAACTTCCTCCAGGTTCTAAGGTAGTAATTTCCCAGCGATTCCTTTCATTATTTTTGTACTTGCAGCTTTCTTGATCTATGTAGCCATTGGGAAAGTCTCTCTCTCTCTCTCTCTCTCTCTCTCTCTCTCTCTCTCTCTGTTTGTGTGTGTGTGTGTGTAATTATACACCTATGGGTGACAAACGTGTGACGGCTTAAGGGTGACTTTGAGTATAATTCCTTAAGCTCTCCTTGTCCACTTTTTTTTATCCCCCTTTGGGGTCTCTTCACTGTTCTGGATCTCACCACCAAGCACCACCAAGGAAAGTAGGCTGGTGGCTAATGAGCTGCAGGAATCTGTTCCTCTGCCTCCCCAGCAGGGTGGTTACAAGCACATACCCAGCACTCATTATGGCTCCTTTGTATTAAACTCAAATTTACTAACTGGACCATCATCCCTAGGTGAGCTTTTCATTTTGATCAGAGTTGGTGACATGAAATAGTAAGAGGTTAGAAAACATCTGAAAGAAAGGGACTAATAAGATTGGTGAGGGTTTGCTGAAAATAGCACAAGCTTACAGTATAGTAGCTGAAAAGTTCTAGATGTTTTCAGAAAGCAAAGTTAGAACAGACTTAATTTAAAGATTTATTTCTATTTTACTTCCTACTCTGCCACAAACCCAAAGCTTAACACATGCCATATAAGTACTCCATTACAGGGCTACACTACCAGTCCTCATTTGCATTTCAAGAATTAGGGAACATCTAATTTTGTAAAATCCATGTGTGTTCTTAGCTCGGCTGGAGGTGGTGGGTTTTATAGCTAGAAAAGAGTTCATGAAAAGAAGAGTTTCCCTGTCTTTTACTTTCCTTATAGGAGAAAGGGCTTTTTATGCTACTATAATCTATCTTGCTTGTTTTTGAAAAAAATCAAGCTGGAGATTTTTTTATTATGTAATACTTAGCTCATCGGACTTCAGTTTTTTTTTTTTGGTTTTGTTTTTTGTTGTTGTTGTTGTTTGGTTTTATCTGGTTTTCTGTGTTTAGGCCACGGTTCAACATTACCCATGTTAATTATCTATATTACCTAGTTTATAACAGTTATTTAACAAAATTGCAAAATTATTTTTTTCTTTTTTTTGTTTTTTTGTTTTGATTTTTTTTAATTTATTTATTTATTAAGGATTTCTGCCTCTTCCCCGCCACCGCCCCCCATTTCCCTTCCCCTCCCCCTATCAAGTCCCCCTCCCTCATCCGCTCAAAGAGCAATCAGGGTTCCCTGACCTGTGGGAACTCCAAGAACCGCCCACCTCCATCCAGGTCTAGTAAGGTGAGCATCCAAACTGCCTAGGCTCCCACAAAGCCAGTACATGCAGTAGGATCAAAAACCCATTGCCATTGTTCTTGAGATCTCAGTAGTCCTCATTGTCCGCTATGTTCAGCAAGTCCGGTTTTATCCCATGCTTTTTCAGACCCAGGCCAGCTGGCCTTGGTCAGTTCCCAATAGAACATCCCCGTTGTCTCAGTGTGTGGGTGCACCCCTCGCGGTCCTGAGTTCCTTGCTCATGCTCCCTCTCCTGCTCCTGATTTGGACCTTGAGATTTCTGTGCGGTGCTCCAATGTGGGTCTCTGTCTCTGTCTCCTTTCATCGCCTGATGAAGGTTAATATTCAGGTGTTGAAATATGAGCGGCGGGGCTGCGTCCCCAGCACCCCGGCCGCCTGCTAGCTCGTGCCCCGAAATAACAACACACAAACTGTATTCATTTAAACACTGCTTGACCCATTTCTATCTAGCCTCTTCTAGGCTAATTCTCACATATTAATCTAGCCCATTTCTATTCATCTGTGTGTAGCACCCCAAGGTGCGCTTACCGGGAAGATTCTAGCCTACGTCCATCCTGGGTTGGAGCTTCATGGCGTGTGTCTGCCCGGGAGCGGGGCATGGCCTCTCTTCTGAGGCGTCTGCTCCCTAGAGGAGAGCTGTCGAGTCTGAGCTCACTTCCTCTTCCTCCCAGCATTCTGTTCTGTTTACTCCACCTACCTATGTTCTAACCAATAAAATGAGCCAAGGCAGTTCCTTTATTAGCCAATGACCTTCCTCCATCATTCAGGAGGATGCCTATATGTTTGTCTTTGGACTCACCTTCTTATTTAGCTTCTCTAGGATCGCGAATTATAAGCTCAATGTCCTTTATTTATGGCTAGAAACCAAATATGAGTGAGTACATCCCATGTTCCTCTTTTTGGGTCTGGCTTACCTCACTCAGGATAGTGTTTTCTATTTCCATCCATTTGTATGCAAAATTCAAGAAGTCCTTGTTTTTTACTGCTGAGTAATACTCTAATATGTATATATTCCATACTTTCTTCATCCATTCTTCCATTGAAGGGCATCTAGGTTGTTTCCAGGTTCTGGCTATTACAAACAATGCTGCTATGAACATAGTTGAGCATATACTTTTGTTGTATGATAAGGCCTCTCTTGGGTATATTCCCAAGAGTGGTATTGCTGGGTCCAGGGGTAGGTTGATCCCGAGTTTCCTGAGAAACCGCCACACTGCTTTCCAGAGTGGTTGCACAAGTTTGCATTCCCACCAGCAATGGATGAGTGTGCCCCTTTCTCCACAACCTCTCCAGCAAAGGCTATCATTGGTGTTTTTTATTTTAGCCGTTCTGACTGGAGAGATGGCTTAGAGGTTAAGAGCATTGCCTGCTCTTCCAAAGGTCCCGAGTTCAATTCCCAGCAACCACATGGTGGCTTACAGCCATCTGTAACGGGATCTGATGCCCTCTTCTGGCCTGCAGGCAAACACGCAGACAGAATATTGTATTTTTTTCTTAATTAAGCTAATGAAGTAGCTTAGAAAGGGTGAGGGTGCATGTTCAGATAGAACAGAAGCTGAACTGAACCCATAGGCTGTGACAGTGGGCTCTATAACATCATTGTGCTGAAGAGGCGTGGTTCACAGTTGGCTGAATTAGTTGCTAGTCAGTGTAGGCATGAGCAATTAATTTTCCATCTTTGTACTTCAGATACCTTTACCGCAAACAACAATTAGTGATTCTCCACTCTGGGAAAAATTGTGAAGGGATTCTGCTGAGAGTAGTGAAGGCTGAATTGTGCTTAAGTACCTACAAATCATTATAAAAGCTTCATATTAATATTTTCTTCATTAGTAGTTTTTCTTTAAAGAATTGAGTGAGGGCAGGGGAAATGACTCAGTGAGCAAAGTGCTTAAAGTTTAGATTCCTAGAACCCACATAAAAGGTTCTGTATTCCAGCGCTGAGAGGCAGAGACTGCAGGACACAGGGCTTTCTGACTAACTGGTAGCCAGTTAGTGAGCTCCAGGTTCCAAGAAAGACTCCTTATTAAAAAATAAAGTGGAAAGCAATAGAGAAAGACATCTAACATAGATCTCTGGCCTCTATACCTATATACATATCAAAACATGCATAGCAGCTAGTCATTTTTCCTTTCAGTTTTTAGATGTTTTTCACGATAGCTGATTTTAGAGCTGTGGCTACTAGTGTGAAATACTGGCAAAGGAAATTTGAGGCGTACTGCTTTAGTCATTAGTTTTCTAATTTGCATTCATTAGTTCAAATATTTATTCAATGACTTTAACAATTATCGGCCAAAGTTTTCATTTATTAGAAATAAAACAGTATCTAAATACTATTTTATTTTGAACAATTTAAATTTATCAAAATATTTAAGTTATAATTCTGATAAGCATAATTTAAAACAAGAAGCCTTTTGCTGGATAATTCTTAGTTTCTCTATGGACTGCAATACAGTACATATAGCTATAAGGTGGAAAAGTGTAAGGACATGCAAGCATCATGTTGGAGTACTTTAGAATGCTCTTACTTTTGACTAAAGACTCAGCAGTATGTGAGTCTTTCTTGCTGACACTTACTTGTTGGTTTTTGATTTGTTTAGGATCCACGTTTGATTACTCCATTGGCTTTTGCTTTAACATCAGATAATAGAGAACAAGTACAGTCTGGATTGGGAATATTGCTGGAAGCTTCTCCACTGCCAGATTTCCCTGCCTTAGTGTGAGTTATAATCATTTGCAGTATCTCTTAATACAATTAGATATCGTGCTGTGTTTCTTCATAATCTTCCACGCATATTTACTACTAAATTGTTGAAACTGAAGATTTTATTGTAATATCAGTAGTCTTTCAAATAATTAAAATTCTGATTTCTGTAATGGAAAATGACAAATACTTTATCAAAGAAAACATAGATGCAGGTGATTAGCAGTATTCATCGTGCTGTTCTGAACATAAACTCTAGGCACTGAAGCTTGAACCAATTGCTTTACTTTCTTTTGGAGAAAGAACTTTTCCTTTCTGGTTTATTTGCCAAGGAGTCCTAAGAACTACGTTAACTCATACTAAGCTGGGAAGGATCGATGTGGGAGATTCTGAAAGAAATATTAAGTGTTTTGTCATAAGCTGGAGTAGATGATGGCCAGGCCGAAAAAAAAAAAAATACTACATTCTTTCATTTCAGATAATAGAATTGAATATGCTGTGGGGTTTATTGCTTGTTTGTTTTGTTTTCAATTAGGTTTGTGTCAGAGGGAGAGAATATGTAAACTGAATGGTACTGTAGTCTATACTTGGGGCTTAATATTTAGAACTTAAAGTAGTTCATATAATAAAATTTGTAAAAGTCACTTAAATAATTTGAAACTAGAGGTTAATAAGCAGGCCAGTAAACAAGCTTTTGCTTTGTAAATAGTTTTATCACACCAAAGCCATATCCATCATTCGTCTTTAAACCTCTGTTGTCTGTGCTGTTTTTACTCTAAATGTAAGAGATGAGTTTGTTAATCCATGCTGTTTGTTGTTAAGTGACTTTAGTTGCATTTTGCAGAATTGCTCATAAATAATCATAAAAGTTAAAAAACTGTTGAACCAATATCTAAGCCAAATATCCATACAATAAAAATTCCATTCCTCACTTCATGTGGTACTGTTGGTTTGGGAGGGAAAAAAACAAACTCAAATCTTCACCAAAAAAACCGAAAAAATCCAAGATGTTAGCAATTTTTTTTTATTTCTAGGATTATAACATAATCGCATTTTTTCCTTTCCTTTCCTCTGTCAGAACACTCTCCTTTTAATTAATGGTTTCTTCTTTCATTAATTGTTATTGCATGTATATATGTGTTGTGTCTGTATATGCATGCATATATGTATTTCTTTCTATATACATGATTAAGTGTACTGGGGAAAGTTCACAAGATCTTAACCTTATACAAAGAATTATAGGCAATTGAGGAAATCTGGGAGTGGGAGAGAATCTAGATAGTGAGGAGAGTAGACAACCCCGGAACCTAGGGAGAAAACTGTTCTGTTTTTTTTCTTTTGCTTTGTTTTTTTTTTTTTTTTTTTTTTTTTAAGGTAGCAATGAAATAACTTCTGATGCTATTCTGTTGTAGTCACAGATCAGTGTCTTGCACCATCATCATCAGAGAAGCTTCCTCCTACAACAGAAGGGAACAAATTCAGATAAGAGACCCACAGCCAGACAGTATGCCTAGAGTGAGAGACCTTGGAACACTCAGCCCTAACCAGGATGTCTCCATCAAATCCCTTTTCTCAGGGAACTTGTAAAATAGGAGACAAAAATAGTTTAAGAGCAGAGAGGATGGAGGATGCCATGAAAACAAGGCCCTCTGAATCATCATGATCAAAGCTCATATGAACTCAAAGAGACTGAGGCAGACTGCACAGGTCTGCACCAAGTCCTCAGTTAATATATTATAGCTTCCAGTGTAGTGTTTTCATGGGATTCCCGAGTATGTGAACCACTGCAACTGAGTCTGATTCTTGTGCCTTCTTTTGATCTCTTTTCCTTCTGTTAATTTGTTTTGTCCAATTCTAATATGTTATTTCTTTTATCTTATTATATTTTGTTATTTTATTATTAAAAATTAAAGGTTCATAAAATGTCCATCACTGTGGAGAGGAGTAGCTAATTATTCATATTACATAGGACATTAATGAAAACCTCTCTGGAGAGGTGAATTTGAACCAAGATCCTATCGTAAGGAATCAGCCCTCTTCTGATAGTTTCCAATAAAGGAACAGCTTATCCAAAGGCCTTGAGTCATATAAACAGGATTGGCTTTTAGTGGAGCACAATAAAAGTCAGGTGGATGAGGATATACTGGGAGAAAAAGAGGGGTCAGAGGAGAGTGTAGATGAAACCAGGTGACACCATATATGATAAGGTTGTCCTGAGTACTACAGTAACTTAGTACTCATTGCAAATACTCTACACTCGCTAACTAGTGCTCGAATGCTTCCAAATCAAACACGGAACTGTCATATTTAATAAGTAGAAAAGAGTCCTCTGGAAAATTGAGAATGTTTTCCCTAGCCGTGCTTTATTGTGATTACCAAAAACATGTAGTCCCCAAAGAAGACTCATTTCAAATATTGCCATAGTTCTGTGACAACTCTGCCTTTTGCTCAATTTTTGTGATCAATTTTTCTTCTTGGCTCTTACTCAGTCTTGGAGAAAGTATAGCAGCAAACAATATATACAGACAGCAAGAAACTGAACATCTGCCCAGGAAAATGCCTTTGCAGCCCTTAAATCCCTGTTTTCCAGCATCAACGAAGTGCTTGTCGCCTCCTCTTTCAAAGGATAATGCTCCTCCATTGAACATCGAGGAGCTAATAGAAAAACTTCAGGCCGGAGTAATGGTGAGTGATGAGTAGCACTGTAAATGGGCTTGTGCTTGGTAGAGCCAGCTAAGTGTCAGCTCTGATTACAGCATTTACTTAAACAAGTTTACATGCAGATATTATCGCCAAAACCTTACCCTTTGACATAAAAAGTAAAATCTGGACATTTTTCAAAGAAAAGAAATGGTATAAAATTTTAACATTTTTTTTAAAAAGCAGCTATCATTCTTATTCTAGTCCCCTTCCTGCCTGCCTACCAGATGACTACATAAATACTTTTAAATCACTCACATGAGTACTGAACCTTGCTCAGATAGCCAAATTAATGAAGTATTTGTAACCCACCTGACACAATGTATTTTACTCTTCAACGTTAATGATTTAGTTGCAAAGTAGGCTTTTATTTTTCTTTCGTCAAATTTACATTTTTCTGATTTTAACTCTATAAAACCAGGTAAAGGATCAGATTAATGATATAAGAATATCTGACATAATGGATGTTTATGAGATGAAACTTTCCACATTAGCTGTGAGTACAAGCTTCTTTTAACTACATAATGTTGTGTGTATTTGACAGATGTTTTCCTAAACAATGGACATTAACCGTGTATTTTCTTCCAGTCTAAAGAGAGCAGGTTACAAGATCTCCTGGAAGCAAAAGCCCTGGCTCTTGCACAGGCTGACAGACTCATCGCTCAGTATCGCTGTCAGAGAACTCAAGCAGAGACAGAGGTCTGTACACTATAGAAATAAAGCATGTCTGAGACTTCATTAATGAAATAAAAGCATGCACAGCACTAGTTACAAGTATGTTCCTATCATGTGTTGGAACTAAGGTGAATTACCTTGAGCATTTTATGCTCAAGCTTTTGAAGCTCTTCCCTTTACTTTTTACTACATTATCATCTCAATTTTCTTTTCTACCTGATTGATGTGTGTTTATGTATTTATCATTAATGTTTTACCACTGAATATCAGAGATCCTCAGAATTATATTGAGTCCTTTCTTCCTTATTTTTCTGTTGTATAGTTTCAGCTACTACTAAAAGTCAATGTTCCCAAATTTATGACAAGCCGAGAATGTTACTGAACTGAGTCATTTGAGAAATGCTTGAAACTCTGTTTATTTTGTGGTAAAGCACTTACCCCTGGCTTTAAAATATACTTGTAGTATAGTGGTCTGTGTACTGCTTGAGTTTTCTGACTTAGAACCCTGGAAATCACTGTTTCTCCTGTATTATTCACCAGGTTTGGCTGATTAACTTAACTTTCTGTAGTCTTCCTTCTTGTCTGTTACTCAGACACTCACACTTAAGTGGTATTCTATGCTTTGTCCACTTCCCAAAGGCATCTAAAGAAATATCTCATCCTATTTCTCCGGTGCTCTATGGTAGTTGTCATTGCTTCTGATGTCATTGAAATTTTTTAATTTGACAAAAAAAAAAAAAAGTCTCACTTCACCCTACATCTTCTATATTTTGCTAGTAAACTGCAGGCAACTGCTTATATTGATTTGCATTTTGGTAGAACTTACCATAGTGTTAAGTTTTCTTAACTTTGAATTTCCTTAACCATATTTAGACTGCCTTTTCCTGTTTCCTTGCTTAATACCTCATCATCATTGGTTTTCATTTAAATGCCCACATCCCCACAATGGCCTTCCATGGCCATTTTCTCACTCATGTTTGACTTTCCTTTTGTGCCTCTACTTTGTGATTGCCTCTTCACAGTACTTCCCATACCATATGAAAATCATACTACTTCCCACCCCTATTGTGATAATAAAGACTATTTCTGAATCTCTAAGCCCCAGTACATCCTTGGCATATGGTTATTACTTTGTAAGTTTTGTAATTAAAGTATTTATAATATATACTTTATGGGTAAAAACTTTGCTTAATAATATGAAATTCTCAGCAGAATTTATTCATTATTTCTTCAAACAAATTACAAAATTGTAGGAGTTTGAAAGTGGGATTAAAATTGTTGATAAATAAAATACCTTTAAAATATTTGCAGAATAAAGGTATCCTAAAAATTATAAAGAAATATCACTGAAAAGAAAGGGGGAAAAATAAACGTATATTCTATCTCTGATTTATGTATTGTCTAGGTTACATTTCCTATTTCTGAAGTAAAATACCTTGACTAAAGCGACTTAAGAAAGGATTTATTTTAACCTATAATTCACAGGTATATTGGCAAGGAAATCAAAGTGTTAAGAGTTTGAAGTGACAGGTTACATTGCACACACTGTCAGGGAGTAGAGTAACCAGCACGCTAATGCTCTGCTCACTTTCTCCATTTCATGCATTCCTGGATACTTTGCAGAGGAAATGGTCCCATCTAAAATTGAGACGGGTCTTTCCACATCAATTAACCTAACCAGATAATCAAAAGAGACCCATTTCCCAGGTCATTTCAGACTCTGGTTAGGTGACAAGACTAACCATCGCATGTATTAATATAAAAGCATAATTTTCTGTAAAAATAAACCCTCCTTTTTTAGTATTCAAGAGTTTATATTTAAAAATATATGAAAAAGATTTAAAAAGCAGTAGGAATGCTTAATATCCTTCTTCCCTCACCCCATATTTTAGCATGCTTTCATTTGTCTTGACTGATACATTGAACTTCTAAATGCCAAGAATGGAAATTAGTAATATTCAAAGAGTTATTCTTCTCATTTTTCATACCATTCTCTTACATTGTATGTCTTTTGGGCATCTTGTTCATTTTATTACACAATTTACACAATTTAATGTTTTATCTCATAAAAATAACACTAATTGTTATCCCTTTTTATAGTCAATTTTCTATCAAACATTTGAAAATTTCTTTTAATACAAAATGGTAGATAGTATACATTCCTTATTCTAATTACTACTTATTTAGGCTGTGCTTCCTAATTAATTAATGTTAGTTTAATTTTAAATGTTCAGTCAGTATCTTGTTGATTCTTACCTGAAATGAAAAAACCTGATGTATGTAAACTTAGCAGTTTAGTGTTGATGACTACCCCTAAGGAATGTATACTTTCACCTGAATGTTATATGGAGAGTTAATTTTTTATCTTTCAGCTGTATTGATTTCTGTTATTCTGGTCATGCTGAAATTGCTTTTGCCAAAACAGTCTATTAAATTATAATTTATAATAGTATAGTTTTAGTGTCCAAATATTTGAAAGCCAAAAACTTAAAAAATGTTTTGTTGGACTGATGAAATGGAGTAGTAGGTAAAGGCCTTTTTCACCAGCCCTGATAAGCTCAGTTCAATCCCAAGAACAAAGATGGTGGAAGGAGAAAACTGATTTCCACAAGCTGTTAGTCTCTGACCTCCACATTGCACAGTGATATGTGTGAACCCAGACACACACACACACAGATAAATAAATAAATGATGCAGTTTTTAAAAGTAGCTTTTGAACCCTATCATGATATGGTTCCACTATGAAATTTTAATGACCAAATTTTTAAAACAAGTTATGTATATGAGGGATATGAAATATAAATAAATTCTGTGCCTAGATTCAGGCCTCATATGTATGTTATGTATGTGGAATATCCAAAACCTTGCGTAATATGAAATAGTCCTGATCTTCAGCCTGAATCAGATTTGGAACTAGTTAAGAATATACAACTAATATAGTTGGGGGGGGGGGTCTTTTTTTTTTTTTCCTTTTCTGGTTTTTCAAGACAGCGTTTCTCTGTAGCTAACTAGCTCTTGTAGAACAGGCTGGCCTCAAACTCACAGAGATCTCCCTCTGCCTCCCTAGTGCTGGGATTAAAGGCATGTGAACCACTGCCCGGCTCTAATATAGTTTGCTATAGCCCAGTACATACTAAATTAGTATTTGGCAACTCTTTTAAATTGTACAATTTATCAACTATAATGTTTGTTCATATTGCATGTGTGTGTTATTTAGTACATTTTGAGAAGTATGTTAGACAGTTTGTTGTAATGCCAGCATCACATAGTGTACTTAAGCTAAGATAACTAGGCACAATAATCCAGTCGAACCATCACCAGCTAGGTGATACATTTTTATCGAAGCATTCCAACATGATGTATGTATAAATGGTAGTGGAAAAGCACGTTTCATTTTCTTTTGAGGCACGGACACTTGCGGGTATGTTAAGAGAAGCTGAAAGAAAAAATGAAGATCTTAGTATGTTGCTGAAATCACAACAGCTGGAATCGGAAAGAGCCCAGAATGATATTGAGCATCTCTTTCAACACAATAGGAAATTAGAGTCTGTGGCTAAAGAACATGAAATACTGACAAAGTCCTACATGGAACTTGTTCAAAGGTAAAGTAAGTAAAAGTTACTGTGTGAAGTTAGAACTCAGTGAATATGCCACATTTCCTCAACCCTAAATAATTCTTTAAACATTTCTTAAATTGTGGTGGCACCATAAAATATGTAGTTCTTAAGAGATTTGAGACTGCCTAAAATGAACTGAATGAGAACAACAGTAGACATGCCCAAGTAGATAAGGAAAAGACCATGAGCCACAACCTTACACAAAGAACTACAGGTAACTAAGGAGTGCTGGTAGTAATAGAAGTAGCCCAGTCCAGGGAAGAGCAGACAAACCTGTTGATTTTCTAACGCAAATATACACGTAACGTTACACAGACCAACAGGTTATATGCATTAATAATCAGTCACAGGTTATCTGGGATGTAAGCTTATCAGAGACAGGTTTCTTCATTTTGGTCACTGTGACCTAGAAGAAGTAGTGCTTGATAGTGAACCACTGCTATATTAACAATTATTGGATGAGGGGCCAGCAGATGGCTCAGTGCATAAAGGTTCTTGCTACCAAGCCTGGCAACTTAAGTTTGATCCCTAGAATATACATGTTGGAAGGAGAAAGCCAATGTTCGCAGACATTCATACACTCACACCATAGCACATATGTACCCCTCCTGTACACACACATAACCCATATGTAATTGTAAAGGAATTACTGAATGAACTTAGTTGTCACAATTATTATAATATTAGAACTGACTGTTGATCATTTCAGAAAGTCAAAATTAGTTAAGCAACCTGATACCACAGAAATTTGTGTTACTCCTTAACTTGACTTTTATTATCATTGAATATTGTTTACTGTGCCATGCAATGAGCTCTTTAGGTAAATTGTGTAGTTCAGGAGCATTATGATTGATAGTCTTGATAAGCATTTCCAGGTACTCAAGCTGCTTTCCTCCATGAAGACGCTGACACATCCTTGTATTCTTAGAAACGAGACTACTGAAAAGAAGAATGTTGACTTACAGACTACTTGTGAGTCCCTGAATAAACAGATCGAGACAGTGAAAAAGCTGAATGAGTCACTCAAGCAGCAAAATGAAAGGTAAAATCTCTAATTCTATATTCTAATTGTTTGTTATTTTGGAAATGTAATGATTCTCTTTCTATACAGATTATTGGTTTTTATTCATAGCTAGTAGACCTCTTCTTTCAGATTATAGTGTAAATTTGTCATACTTATAAGTAATTAAAAGTTCTATGTAATATTTTAGAGGATAAAATATTACAAATAATTTTATTCAGTAACTTTTCTTTTCTAACTTTAGAACTATTGCTCAGTTAATGGAAACAGAAGAACAGAGAAAAGAAGTCCAGAGCCAATTAGTAGACAGAGAATGTAAATTATCGAGTAAGTGGCTTTGTTTGAGACACTGTCTGTTTTCAGCTTATTTTGTTTTGGAAGATAATCAGAGTGTTGGTTGTTTTAACTACTATTTACTTCCCTTGTTTTAAAGATACTGTTTTATTATTCTTAGCTTTGTGTGTGTATATGGTTAACTGGAATATATGCACATGAGTGCAAGTAGCCATGGAAGATGTCTTGGTTAAACTGATTTTCAGCAAAAGCAGTACCTACTCCAAACTGCTGAGCCCCAATTTCATTATTTTTCAAATTACTTCCTAAACAACTTCTCCTTTCTTTGAACTTTCATTGGAGCATTTTCATTCATTTGATCAAGTAGAAAATATGGTCTTTTCCTTCCATTTTAGAGATTATAAGAAATAATAGCCCTTTTTAAAATAAAATTTTTATCATAACAGCAGGTGGCAGTGTTGGGTAACTTTAGAGATATTAGTCTCTAAATGCTGTAATCTGTGAAATGACCTTTGCTGTTTTAACTCACCTTTTTTAGTACTCAGAGACCAAGCCTGCTTGATTTGCCATATTTTTTGATCCCCATTTTTTGGTAACCCCTTAAGCTCTTCATGTTCCGTCATGCCTCCATCCTGTCCTCATTTTGTTTGCCCCCCCCCCATCCTCTTCTCACAATGCTTGTTTAAAACAGAGGAAGTGGAGAAAGACATAAAGACTTGCTATTTTATGTAGAATACTGGTAAAAAGGGAAGAATTTGGGGTATTTTGTCTCACTCTTTACATCTGTTTTATAGAGGATAGGCATTGCCCGTGTGGTAGGTTTCAGGTATTAATTCAGGTGATGGTAAGCAAGTTTACCTTCTGAGCTATCTCGCCCTCCCTTGAGGTATTTTTTTAAGTCAGTAAATTTTATATAAACATATTTCCAACAAACTATTTGATTACCTTTCTCATCTTTTTTTTTCCTTTTAGTAGTAAATACTTAAGTGCATGACTGTTTGTTTTTAGATTTGCATAAAAAAGCAAAGTCCCAAGAAGAAATGATTAATGTTTTACTAAAGGAAAAAGAAGATAAGCAGGAAACCATTGATATCCTTAGGAAAGAATTAAGCAGAACAGAACAGATAAGAAAAGAATTGAGTATTAAGGTAAGACCCTTCTGTTTTCCTTGCAGGAAAATGAAAAAGAAAGAAAGAAAGAAAAGGAAGAAAGAAAGAAAGAAAGAAAGAAAGAAAGAAAAGTAGGTTTTGAATAGAATGAGCATGTGTAGATGTCTTAGGATTTCTATTGCTGTGAATAGACTTCATGACCAAGGCAACTCTTATTTAAAAAAAAAAACACATTTAATTGGGGCTGGCCTACAGTTCAGAGGTTTAGTTCATTTTCATCATGGTATGAAGTATGGCAAGACACAGGTAGACATGGTGCTGGAGAAATAGAAAATGAGACACTGGGCCTGGTTTGAGCATCTCCGATGTCAAAGCCCAACCCAGTAACACACTTCTGCAAACACAGCCAGACCTACTCCAACAAGGCCACACCTCCTAGTGATGCTGCTCCCAGTATGTCTGTAGAGGCCATTTACATTCCAACCACCACAATAGATTAATGTTGTTCTTTAGTAATTTAAAGTCATTATAGATTTCTTAAGTACATACTACAACTTTTAAGTGTATCGAGAACATAAAAAGGGGTTCATAGGTCTTCATGTGGCATGCAGGTAGCTTTAGGTTGGTAGCTCTGTCTTTACTTATACGGGTAGTAAGGAATTTATATTTCTTTAGAGCCTTATAATTTGCAAAGAACTCCTAAAATTGTTCTGTTGATTATCTTCTCTAACAAATATAAATATCAAATATTAACACTTGTAACTTACCAAGGAGGAATAGGAGTTACATATAATTGAAATAATATATATTGTCTATTTTAATCTACTCCTTGTATTTCTCAGATGAGAAACGTTCTGGCCTATTTACTCTATTTCTTGTCATTTCTTCCTCACTCCTTAGGCTTCCTCCCTAGAAGTGCAGAAGGCTCAATTAGAAGGTCGTTTGGAAGAGAAAGAATCTTTGGTGAAACTTCAGCAAGACGAGTTGAACAAGCACTCTCACATGATAGCAATGATCCACAGTTTAAGTGGAGGAAAAATAAGCCCAGAAACTGTGAATCTCAGTATATAAATATTGTGGCTTTGAAGAATTGGCAAATGAATACTTTTAATGTGTTTATATATTGGAGGTGGCAGTCAGTAGAGAAAATTGTGACTACAAGATAGTTATCATTTGCTTACTACCTACTAACTTAGTAAAAATCCTGATTTGACCCTTGTTTTATTTGATCTTTGGAATATTAATTTTTTTAGATTTTTGTATTTTGGTTTCTCTAATGTTTGCTCTTACATGTCTTAGGTATTCTTATTTCTGATCATATTCATGGGTTATTTCATATCTACCATGAATACACTTTCATAAATGTGCTTTTAAGCACTCTCTTTATTGTGTAAATATGTTTGAGTAGACACACAGACTACAAGGGCTACAGTGTCTTCTTTTAGTACTGTCATAATAAATACGCTTTGTCACTGACTTTGTGATGATGACAAAGTAATGTATTTGTTAAATTAAGCTTTCTTGATAGAACAGTCTTGAAGATGATCAATTAAGATCAATTAGTTAAAAGGAGAAATGGTCTGATACTAAGTTAATTTCTCTCTAAAGTTAACAGAAAATAATAGATTGAAAGGAGTTTATATTACTGCATCTAAAATAAAATAATTTAAGGCCAAAACTCTAAATTTGAAAACAGATGCAGTAGTTATCAGAAATAATGTTTAAAAATTGGGTAGTATCCATTGTGTTAAATGATTAGTCTCTTAAAATTAATAATTTGTAGCATTATTTGCAACTTTTTTCAGTTTTTGTCTTTTTCTTTGTTGCTTTTTTTCCCTTGACATCTCATATACCTAAGGTATATTTAACCCACTCAATTTCTGTTTTATTTTTTGCTATTATTTTTAATTTTGTTGTTGTTTGCCTTTTGAGATGAGTTTTTTCTGTAATGCAAACTGATCTTCAATTTACTATGGAGTTCATGCTGATTTTGACTTGAGCCCATGGTGATCTCCTGCCTCGGCCTCCCAAGGACTGGAATGATAAGTGTGACCTGCTATATCCAGATGTGTTTTCTCCTTAAGATGTGGTATGTTGACAAATTCATTTTTGCTTTTAAGGATAACTGAATTTTTGTTCTAGCTATAGTCATACATGTTATTTCTTATAGTATACACATTTAATATATAAATATTTTTAATGAGCCATTGACCTTTTTTTGGGGGGCCATTTTAAAGCAAAACTTAAGTATCCCTGTTTAGATATTTCAGTCATACAAAGGAATCTTTTAGCACTTTTCAAATGGTAATAAGTGTAATGTGCTTAAGAAACCATTTTAGGTCAGTACTGTAGTTTCAATTACTTTGCTAAACTTTTATCTGAAAAAGTAGAAATCATAATGCCTAAGTTTTAAATTGCACGTGATTCTGAGTTGGTGAAATCTTAATATTTTCTGCTCTATTATGGGTCAAGAATCATCTCTTTATCCATCATGTTTCTACTGCATAGTCCACCTGCAATTGGTAACTCAGTTATCAAATCATGTTCTTGGATATTATAATACTGTATTCAACTAACCCTTATTATATAATACTTAATATGGCACCAAATATGCAAAACCAGTCATTTTGGATGTAACTATTATCTAGTATAATTAAAGGAAGTAGAATAAGTACAATAATATTTTGATATTAAGAATATAATTAACCCATTATAGCATCTTTTTATAATTACCATTTTTAATTATTATCAATTGTTATTCCCTTGCAGTACCTAATTTATAAATTAAGTTTTGTAGCTTGGTATAACAGTGTGTGCCTGCAACTCTCTTACTTTGAAAGCACAGTCAGGTGGATCCCAAGTTCAGGTTCATTTGAGCTGCACAGTGAGGTCTTAGTTTACATAAGGATGAAACCATGGGGTTTGGTAGGACAGAAGTTATTTAAATTTTCTAATATGTATTATATGAAGAATTATAATACATTAGAACTCAGTACTACCTCCAATTCAGGTCATCTGTGAGAGTTTTAGAATATTTCTTTAGGTGAGGAGTAGGTGAGGACTACTGTACTCTAAAATATTGCTAGTAGCATTTCTCAAAGTGCAGTCATTTCAGTCTTTCCTCTCTGAAGGAAAAGCATCTTTCATCACTTTCTTTTGTTTCTTGTAGCACATTTCTTATCATTCTTACTGTTCTTCTCAACACTTAGTATATTGGGTACTTTTCTGCTTGTATCTTTAGTTTGATTGATTTTTGTTTCTGGTTCTATGTACCTCAGATTATAAAAGCAAAAGTTTATATCTAAATACATTTTTTTCTAAAAATTTTTAGATGGGTTCACACTATTTTAACATAGGTGAAGATTTAGAGATGATTAGTATCTGTATACCATGTCTCAAAAGAAAAGAACAAACTTAAGAAATTTATCACTAGTATCTCATCTGCTTAAATTTGGGGGGGCATAAGTTTTCTAAAATACACACTATTATATTTCCTTGTACAATTTATACTTGCTGCTTGAATAAATAATGTTCTTTCAACTGATTAAAGTTTATTCTAACTTTATTAATTTAATATGAGGCTAGAAAGATGGAAAGGTATTGCTGTATCTTACAGAAAAATCAGATTAGTGCTCTTGGGTTATAATGTCATAAACACTATCTGAAGATTGAAAGGAGATACCACCACTAATTACATTTGTTATTTTAGGCTCTGGAAGACATAAGGTCTTACTCATAACTATTAAACTCTGCTATTGTAACACAAAAGCAGCCTTGGACAGTACATAAGTAAATATCTCTAGCTGGGTTCTAGTAAACCCTATTAATGTAAACTGTCAGTGATTTGCTATTAAATATTGAATTTACCCACTAAGAAATCATTGAAAATCTTCGTCTTATGATATTTTGTTTACTAATATCTGTTAATTAATTTTTGTATTTTCTCTTGTCCTGCTAGATTGTTTGTGTCTTTTGCTTTTGTCAATTTACATATATATATATATAACTTATAGATATTATGTAACTAGAACTGCCTTCTTAAATCTCTTGGACATTAAGGTCTTTTAATTTCATCCTCCATGTAAAAGTTAATATTGTAACACAATATATAGCAGTGTTTCTCAACTTCCTAATGCTGCAGCCCTTTAATATAGTTCCACATGTTGTGGTGACCCCCAACCATAGAATTATTTTGCTACTGTTGTGAATCAAAATGTAAATAACTGTGTTTTCAGGTGGTCTTAGGTGACCACTATGAAAGGGCTTTTTGACACCATCCCCAAGTGGTCACAGCCCACAGGTTGAGACCACTGAAAAACAGAATGTAAATCTTGCTTCTCCATAGCACCGTTCATCACATTATCTTTTATGCTATAGTTGACAGTGTATGTTGCCTATATGTAAATAATTAATTCCTATGCGGTATTACAATATTAGCTTTAAGTAGGTAAATGGAAAAGCTTCAGCTGCCATCAATATATGTATTTGCTTGTAATGATGCAGGGTATTTTATTATAACGTGACTTGTGGGTTTGTGATCATCTTAGTGTTTCTATTGCTGTGAAAAGATACCATGGCCACAGTAACTCTTATAAAGGAAAACATTTAATTGGGGTTGGCATATAGTTTCAGAGGTTTAGTCCATTATCATCATGGTAGACATGGTCCTGGAAAAGAAACTGATCTCCATCTTGATCCACAGGCAACAGGAAGTGAATTGTGTTGCTGGGTGAAACTTGAGCATAGGACCTCAAAGCCCACCCCACACATTTCTAAGACCATACCTACTTCAACAAAGCCACACCTCCTAATAGTTGCAATTCCTGAGGGGGCCATTTCTTTCAAACCACCACAGGGAGTAAGAACTGTTGTAGGCAGAGTCAGCCAATGCTTTTCTTCTCTTACAATTTTTATATATTTAGATTAAACCTTTTGTTTCTACTTCTTAGCTAAATCAATTATTAAACTGACAGTTACCAATTTTTCCTTTATTTTAAATGGCAGAAATTGAACATTTTTGTAATACCATAAATGTCAGTTAATTATATCATTTATATTTGGAAAATTGAAGTACCTAACAGTTTTGCAATTAGCATAGCATGTTCATAAGTTGAGAGATAGTGAGTGTATAGGTACATTGTTACAAACCAGGGGTTTGAGCTTTGTGTACTATATTTGAAAAAAAAATAAATAATGGATGTTAAGAATGCTGAAGGCAACCAGGCAGTGATAGCATGTGTCTTAAATCCCAACACTAGGGAGATAGAGACAGGTGGATTTCTGTGAGTTGAGGCCATCCTGGTCTACAGAATGAGTTCCAGGACAGCCAGGACTGTTTCACAGAGAAACCCTGTCTTGGGAGGGAGGGAGGGAGGGAGGGAGGGAGGGAGGGAGGGAGGGAGGGAAGGAGGGAGGGAAGGAAGGGAGGAAGGAAGGAAGGAAGGAAGGTTGGTTCAAGATGACTAGTCAGGAAAGCACCACACAACTCCAGTAGACATTCTCTTAGTGCCTGCCATCCAAACTTGCTAGAGGAAAGCAAGTAAAGCAGGTAGGTGAGCTTCAGACCTTGACTCTTCCTCCTCTCTTCCAAATCCATCCCCCAGTCTTATCCCTCCCTACTCTGTAGCAGGCTGCCCGTTGTGGCTTTTCCTCTCTGCCCCATTCCCAAGTGTGGTGGTTTGAATAAAAATGGCCTCATAGGCCTGTAAGGACTGGCACTATTATGAGTTGTGACCATGTTGGACTAGGTATGTGTAACATGAAGGAATGGGTGCCATTCTGTAACATCAGGGCCTGCTTGTTGGGGTTTCTGTCCCGCCCGGTCCCCCAGCCATTTAGTCCCAAAGAAAATCAGACAGGGGTCTCCATAAGTTATAAACTGATTGGCCCATTAGCTCAGGCTTCTTGTTAACTCTTGTAACTTATATTAACCCATTATTCTTATCTATGTTAGCCACATGGCTCGGTACCTTTTTCAGCCAGGTACACATCCTGCTTGAGTGGTCTGTGCAGGACTAGGGAGGAATGGGCTTCATCCTTTCTAGAATTCTCCTGTTCTCATTGCCTCACCTCTACTTTCTGTCTGGTTGACATGCCGATACTTCCTGCCTGGCCAATCAGCATTTATTTAAAACATGATAACAGAATACAGACAATTCTCTCGCACCACTTCCCCTTCTTTTTTTAAACAAAGGAAAATGTCCACAGTCCAGTTTTGGGGAATTTGGGCATAGTATTCCAGGCTACTTCCAGCTGGTTGGGGGCGCTGATAATCTTATGGAGACCTAAAGAAAATTTAGAGTTATGATCAAGTCCTGATTGGAGTATCCTGTGAGGCTTGATCATTTCAGGCAGCATCTTTCCTGGACTGATGCATAAACTGAACATAAAGAACCCACAGAGAGATAGATGACTTGCCAAAAGGTGAGATGATCCTACAGGGTCCTGATACATAAAAGAGTCTGCGAGACATTCTGCAGGATACAGAAAAAAAGTGGCTGAACTGTCTTTAAAATTTCCTGCTTCATAGAAATGTCTGCTGGATACTATGGGCCTGTAGGCTGAAGATGGATGCCCCAAGGGTACAGAGGAACTTTGGGTGAGTGTCTAGGCAGCAAGAAGTCTGTCATTTCTAGAGTTTTGGAAGTTTCTTACAATGTACTTCCTGTTTACTTAGGTAATATTATATCCTTCTGAAGTCTGATAGAGTTGAAGAATTGATAGATAGTTATAGTTTTCTTTGTTATGATAAAAGATAAAATAGATCTAAATTTGTAATTGTAGTTCTTTATACCTGTTATATGTAACTTTACTACATCAAAACCTTCCTTTTTGTTGAAACAGAAAAGGGAAAATGATGTAGGAGGTCCTTCTGTATTTGTGTTGCTTTCACTGGTTATTAAAGAAACTGCCTTGGCCTAGTTGATAGGGTAGGTCTTGGGTAGACGGGGAAGACAACAGAATTCTGGGAAGAAGGTCAGAGTGGCAGATGCCATGAAGCTCCTGCCTGAGACTGAAGCTGGTTAGAATCTTTCCTGGTAAGCCACGACCTCGTGGTGAACACAGATTAGTAAAAATGGGTTAGATAAAGATGTGAGAGTTGGCCAAGAAGGGGCTGGATAGATATGGGCCAGGCAGTAATTTGTTGTGGGATAATTGTGGGCTGCATTTAATTAATACAATTTCTGTGTGGTTATTTTGGGGGCTAAGCTAGCTGGGCAATGGGATGCAGCCCGTTCCTCCTCCTACAGGTATGGTTTGTTGGATGAAGCATATCACTGGATACAGACTTTAGGGTTTCAGAAGCTTATGTTAGGCCTGTTGGTTTACTGGCTTTTCCTGCTGTTTGACAATCCAGATGTAAAATTGTAAGCCACCTCTCTAGCACCTTGTCTGCCTGTGTCCTGCCATTATTGCCATGGTGACAGTGGACTAAACCTTTGAACTTTAAGCCAGCCCCAATTAAATGCTTTCCTTTATGAAATTTGTAGTGGTCATGGTGTCTCTTCACAGCAATAAAAAATCATAACTAAGAAGTTGGTACCAGGGAATGGGTGTTGCTGTGATAGGCATGACCATGCTTTTGTTCAGAGGATTGTGGTACTTTGGTAATTGGCCACTTTAATTGAGTTTAATGGACTATAGTAATAGAAGCATGGAAGATGGTGGTGCTAAGGGTGTTTTGAACTGTAGGGGCTCAGCTCAAGAAGTTTCAGTGAAGAAGCAACTAGAGAAAATTCTTATGATATTTTTGTGAAGACTGTGGCTGCTTTCTGTCCTTGTCCAAAAAAAAAAAAAAAAAAAACTACCTGAAGCTAAGTTGAAGAGTGTTGTATTGATTCCATTTGCAGAAGAAATTTCAACACGGACTGGTGTTCACTGTATCTTGTGGTTATTAGTGGGTAATCTTATGCAGATGTCTAATGGAGAAATGTAAAATGTATAGTTAAAGGAGACAGTGGCACCAGGGAGTATAATGGAGCTAAGTCCTGTGTTCAAAAAGATAAACAGATTAAAGAAAAGCCTGATTCTAAAGGGAATAAAGGAAATGGTGACCTCGTGTCAAGATCCCACCGAGCTAAATTTCAAAGTTGTGAAAAGAGATTAAAGGAAAGCAAGTGTGTTGCAGTCAACAAAGCTGAAAGGAGTTAGAGATCTGAAGAGCACTTTGACATCAGACATGGAGGTGCATAGTTTGGAGTTTGTCCAGCTGGGTTTTGGTCTTGCTTTGGTTCAGTATTTCCTCACTATGTTCCCTTCCCTACATTTTGGTGTGATAATGTATATGCTGTGCCATTATATGTTGGAATTATGTGATCTGCGTTTTCAATTTGAGTTTTCAGGGGATTATAGTTAAGGGATTGCATGCATCTGAGAAGAGATATTGAACTCTGAAACAAATTTGAGAGTGTTATGAACTGGGGACTTTTTAAGTTGGACTAAATGCATCTTGAATTATGATATGACTACAAGCCTTTGTGGGCCATCAAGTGGAATGCGGTGGTTTCAATAAAAGTGGCCCTCATGGGCCCATAGGGAGTTGCAGTACTAGGATGTGTGACCTTGTTGTAGAGTGTGTCAGAGGTGGTGGGCTTTGAGGTTTCAGAAGCTCCAGCCAGGCTTAGTGGTTCACTGGCCCTTCCCACTGTCCTCCAGATGTAGAACTCTCAGCTTCCCCTTCAGCACCATGTCTGCCTGCATCCTGCCATGGCTCCCACTGTAGTGATAGTGGACTAACATCTGAACTTAAACCAGGGCCAACTAAATGCTTTCCTTTATAAAGGTTGTGGTAGTCATGGTGTCGCTTCACAGCAATAAGAACCTCAACTAAGACTCCAAGGAACTTAGTAGATCTTGGTGGAACACCCTGCTTTCCTCCCTCC